AAGTTTACTCATGATCTCTTTACAAAATCACTTCCAAGAAAAGTTTTTGAATAGTTGATACACAAGATTAGACTCCGTCGTCTTAAAAATTGTATGCATGATGGAGAGAAATAAATATTTATGAATGATGTACTCTTTTTTCTTTCACTAGGTTTTTATCTCATAAGGTTTTTCTAATAAGGAGATGCACATTTTAAATATTGGACATCCAAGAGGAGTGTTATGAATAATAATTAGTGACTCAATTAGTAGATGTCAATATTTACTATCAATTATTATCATTTATATTTTGTTATGTATTATTCCCTTATTATGTAATTGTTCAGCTATTAACTGTACTTATAAATAAACTAATTTTCTCCCAAAGATAATATATCAATTAGATTCTTTTATTTATCTCATATTATCTTATTTATTCTCTCTATTTTCTTTCTTTCTTTTATAACAAATAAGAAGTTTAAAAGAATTCTTAAAAATAATTTCATTGAAGAAAAGTTCCTAAAAGTGTAACATATTTGTATTTCTTTAGGAAGAAAAATGTTTATTATAACACTATAAGGGAGGGTGATATAATATTTCCATATTTGAGTAGATGATATGTAAATGATGTTTTTGCTAATATTTTTTTAGTAACACATGTTAACAAAATTTTAATGAATTTTTTAAAAAAATATATATAAAATTTTATACATTAAAATTATCGAAAACTATAATTTTTAATATAAGATGAGAAAATAATGTAATATTTACATCACTCGAATGTAATTTACTCCTTTCTAAAACATCAAAAATTTCAAAATCAATTATAATAGAAAAAAAAGTAATTTTTTGCACCTTTTTAAATCATACTTAATTTATTTTTGTAACAATTCTCCTCACACATTATTTATCTTTTAACCTACTTTTTTCTTTCTTAACACATTATTCATTTTTTTTCTTTATTTGTATAGACTTCTACCTTCAAACTATTCACATATCTTTAATATTTTCTTCTTTTTTCATTTTATTATATTTTTATTCACTTATATCTTTCTTAAATAATAATACTAATAATGATTGCCTAGAAATTGATTTTATATATTAATTTTGCATGTAGAAATCAAAAATGGATCTAATTTCATTTTTTTATTGTATAAATAAATATAAATGTGGAGAAGTCTTTCACAAATCTTCTATAGAAGCTTGCTAAACCATGAAAGCTTCTAACTTTTCCAACACTTTTTCTGGTGGGCCAATCTTGGATGGCTTTTATTTTCTCGGGGTCAACATGCACTCCCTCTTTATTAGGGTCAAACGGAGAGGGCAACAAGTAGGAGCCGCCTATCATGTTTCCATTTTCTATTATGAGAAATATAATTTTAATGTAAACCAAAAATAGCATATACAACAATCACTATTTATGGTTTGATAAGTTTGTATCTTATGGGCTAATACATTATAATTTAGAACATGTTTGGATAAACTTTTTTATAAGTACTTACATGAAAGAAAAATAAGAAAAAAATGAAATAAATTTTTTCATAAGTTAAAATTGATTTATGCATAAGCTAATTTGTAAATACTTCCTCATATTAGCTTATCCAAAAAACTATTTTGAATTGTGCAAAAATTAGTTTTATCTTACAGAGAAATTTATTTTATTTTTCGTTCCTATTTTTTTCTCCTAAAATACTTATGAAAAAATTTATCCAAACATACCATAGAACATTATGTGAAATTTTGATTCTATAAGTAAGAAGGCACACATAAGTATAAAGAGAAGGGGGTATCTAATAGTCACAGTACAAAATAGTCTTTCACTTATTTGTTGAAAAATTTGACACTAACTCAATCATAGATGAAATTTATGGACATTCAATAAGGCGATTAAGGCTAATGCCTAGAGCCTCCAAACTTATAAGACTTTTAAATTTTTTTAATAGTAGTATTATTGATATAAATTAATTTTTAAAAAATTAATAATATTTGACATAAGGCCTAATATTTTATAAGACACATATCTTACATTTTTTATATCTCTTATTTTCTTATTATTAAAATTACTTAAAAGACCAAAACCCATTTATTAATTTTTGTAAATGAAAAGTTACTACGGTTGTCACTATGGTTTCAGTTTTGGATATTCATAGCTGTGACAGTGCATAGCCATAACTTAAAGAAATTTTCATTCACAGATATAATTTTTCACTTTCCAAGTTTTATTGTTTCATTGTTATCTTTTTTTAATTTTAAAAATTATTTTTCTTGTTATTTTTATTTCAGCCAATCAATAAAATATGTCAAATAAAAAGTATCTACCTGGTTTTGAAAAGTTGAAAAAAAGAGAAGAATTGAAAAATTAATTCAATCTCAACATGGTGCTCTTCATAAATTTGTTACTATTCATAAAAAAGATGTTACAACTAGTTCAACAAATACAAATATGACAAAAAATTCTCTACTAGAAATCCAAAATAATATTAATATAGTAGAGCAAAATACTGATAATGAAAACATTCAAGAGGTAGAAAATCTTCACAATATCAATAGTCCTGATCCAAGTCAAGAAGATAGTACATTAAATATTTATGAAGTTTCTAAAAATATTTATGATCCAGGACAATAGAAAAATATTGATGAAAACTTTAGAGACTTAATAGTTAAAAATGGTCCAATTAGATATAACAATATGAAGTATCCAAAAGATGAAAATAATAGACATTTTTCTTCATTTTACTACCAAAAAGTAATGCCAAATGGACAAAAATATGATCGAAGATGACTAGTTTATTCAAAGGATTTAGATAAAGTGTATTGTTTTTGTTGTAAGTTGTTTTGTTCAAAAAGTTGTGCTTGTATTGCTAATCAATTAGTTAATGAAGGTACTAGAGATTGGAAAAATATTGGTTCCAAGCTTAAGAGTCACGAAACAAGTTATGAACATGTAACTAATATGGATAAATGGATTGAATTAGAAGCAAGATTGAGAAAGAAAAATACAATTGATAAGGAGATCCAAGAACAAATTAATAAGGAGAAGGAACATTGGGAGAAGGTTTTGGTAAGGATTATAGCTATAGTTAAACATCTTTCTAAAAAAAATTTATCTTTTCATGGGACAAACGAAAAAATATACCAAAAAGGCAATAGAAACTTTTTGAGTTTGATTGAGATGTTAGTGGAATTTGATCCAATTATGCAAGAGCATGTTAAGCGTATAAAGAATGGTAAACTTCATAATCATTATTTGAGTAAGACTATAAAGAATGAAATTATAAAATTGTTAGATTATCAAATAAAAAATATTATACTAAAAAAAGTTAAAGATGTAAAATATTTTTCTATCATTCTTGATTGTATTCCAGATATAAGTCATCAAGAGCAAATGACTCTTATTTTGATATGTGTTGATGCTTTGAGTTGTCCCATCAAAATAAAGAATATTTTTTAGAGTTTGTACAAGTCAATGACACAACAGGAAAAGGTCTTTTTGAGGAACTTACTCATGTATTAATAAAATATGGCCTTGATATTAATGATATTAGGGGGCAAGGGTATGATAACGAGTCTAATATGAAAGGCAAAAATCAAGGAGTACAAAAGAGATTGCTGGACATAAACCCTAGAACATATTATACTCCTTGCGGTTGTCATAATTTGAATTTAGTTCTAGGTGATATGGAAAATTCATGTACTAGAGCTGTTTCTTTTTTTGGAGTTTTGTAACGTATTTATTCTTTGTTTGCTTCGTCTACTAAACAGTGAAAAATTTTACAAGAAAATATATCTAAGTTTTCAGTTAAATCACTATCTCAAACAAGATGGGAATGTAAAATTGAAAGCGTTAAAGCCATAAAGTTTCAAGCACCAAAAACAAGGGATGCACTTGTTCAATTATCAAAAACTAGTGAAGATCCTAAGCTAAAAAGTGAAGCCATGTGTTTAGCGACTTATGAGATGAAGAATTTTGAATTTTTATTGGGAATGAATATTTGGTATGATATTCGTTTTGTGATTAATTTTGTAAGTAAGATCATGCAATCTAAAGATATGCATATAGATGTTGCTATAGATCACTTAAGAGGTCTTCTAACTTATTTAAAAAAATTATAGGAAAAATGGTTTTGCATCTGCATTAGAATCCACTAAAGAAATGACTATTGAAATGGATATATAACCTAAGTTCAATGAAAAACGTAAGATTCATAGGAAAAAATATTTTGATGACATTGATAGTGATGAGATAACTTATTCTGTTGAAGATTCTTTTCGCATTAATTATTTTTTGTACATATTAAATCAATCTATTTCTTTTATTGAGATTCGATTTGAACAATTTTTAGAATATGAAAACATGTTTGGTTTTTTATTTGATTCAAATAAATTTAAAACTTTAGGGGAAGATGAATTGAAAAAATATTGTATCAATCTTGAAAAGATTTTGAGTTTTGAGGACCATTTTGATATTGATGGTCTTGATTTGTTTTCAAAATTAAAGTTATTGAAAGAAATTCTAACAAATAAAATTAACACACCACTGAAAATATTGAACTATATAAAAAGATAATGTTCTTTTCCAAATACATACATTACTTATAGTATATTATTAACATTACCTGTAATTGTTGCGATTGCCAAAAGAAGTTTTTCAAAATTAAAATTGATTAAATCATATTTATGATCAACTATGCTACAAGATAGATTGAATGGGTTAACTATATTATCTATTGAGAGTGAAATGTTATAATTACTTGATTATAAAACTTTAATAAATAATTTTGTAGCTCAAAAAGCCAGAAAAATAACATAAAAATTATTAAACTATAGTCTAAGGTCCCGAAATTCCTAAATGCGGCCCTGATGATACATATAATATTTAAGCCAAGAATTTTCATTTATCTAGTATTAGTCAATTCCTGGTCTGAATAAGTAGGAAACTGCTAAAACTAACTAAAACCGATAATAACTTCGTATTTCATTGAGAATGAATAGATAAAGTACCATATAGAAAGAACATATACCTCAATAGCCATGCACCCTCCTTGGCCCATATTTGGCTGCATGGCGTGGATGGAATCACCAAGCAAAGTCACACGACCCTTTCCCCATGTCAATGTTGGTATTCTGTCATATATGTCTCTACGCAGAATTGCCTCTTCATCTGTGGCAAGTATCAGATCAACAGCATTATCACACCAGCCCTCAAATATCCTAAGTAGCCTTTCCTTTTTTCCTGTCATGCAGAAAGAACTATGAAATTAATAATGATGATTTAACATTTTTTTTCCTCATAGAAAATGAAGAAAATAAATATTCACTTCTATTTTGTATTTTTCAAGGCTGTCCTATGTCTGAATTTCCAATGCTAAATTACTGTTATACAACCCACGCTATTTGATTAGCATCTTCATCATAATACCATCTTGATATAAATAATCCATTCAATCCATGTCAAGGAAGATGGATGAAGATTCAGTAATAGAAGAAAATGACTGGCATAGAATGGGCGAGAGGCAATTAGGTCCATCTTTGTATTTTAAATATCAATTGTTAGATAATCTCTGATAAATAGTGTTTTTACCAAAACATAAATAAATAGTGTTAACTATTATGCATAGATACAAATCATATATGATGCAAATTTGATTTAGTGATAAGATTATCATAGGATAAAATACATGGAAGATATACATATGTGTGTCTATAAAATTTATTGAACATAATAAATATATAATTGTAATTCTACGAATTCAAACAAAGAGAACACTTTTTGGACATTTCTAAAACGAATGAAATTATAAATCCTAGTCGTTATAAATCACAGCCTTCCATGTCTTTCCTCTTAAAGATGACACTTTCCATGTCTAGTTCAACAAGGAGACTATGTTCTATTTCTGACATGCACTAGCAGCAAATTTCAAAGGGAAAAAAACCCACTTGACCCTATTAAAATTAAGATTTGATGTAGTTAATGATGTCTAACATTGGATACTACTCTGATACAAATCCGGTGAGTACCCAAGAATATAAATATTAGATATACATCCAATACTGATACAAGAAACAAATGCAAGTATCAATGTTTCATAGGTGTGAAGCATGCTCCCTTAAATTCTGAGAAGATGATGCAATGAGCTGCTTTCTCTGCCTTGTTTTTCCTCTTTTCATATATAACCCTACTAATAGCTCACTATTTGCAGTAACTAGTGGCACATATTTAATAATCAGTGATCCTCAGCATAGAAATTATCTTAGCTCAAAATGTCAAACAAATAATCAAATTGTCATTACCATAACAGTTGAAAATGCATTCCAGCCACAATCAATTCAAAGACGGCATCAATTATCTAAAAGACAGGATAAACAATTCAAAAGTATGTCTATAAGTAGATCACATACAAACTTTAACATTTGCAGAGGTTGTGCTTCTAACAAATGTCAAATCTCAAACACATTGAGAATGCATACCGTTGGGGGCATCAACACCACCAGGAGGTTCTTTGTGAAATGCATACCATTGCATCTTTCCGGCACCGACATCTGAAGATACAAAGTATTGTTTGTGTCCCAAGAATACTCGGTATCTTCCAGCAAAGAAGTTCAAGTAAGCTTCTTAACTTAATATAAGTAATATTAACAAAATATCATCATGATTCATAGAAAATGGACAAATAGAGATACAATACATGAATAATAGTCAACATACCCAACAGTTTCAATGTCAGCAGGCACAAAATCTGCAATGCCAGTATAACAAGTATAGCCAGAGTAAACAGCTTCTGTGGGCCCAAATAACTGCTTCCTCACCTATTCATAAAAATATACAGTAAGATGAAACGCAGAATTTATGAATATGTGAATCCCTTACAGACAGAATGACAGAAAGAGTTCACTACTTCACAAAAAAAGAAGTCTAAAACACACATGAGCTCCACTGTACTTGTCATGTTTAAGTGCAACGTCTACTTTCATATGGGAAATATAATTTACTAAAGAATAAGATCATAATCAGAGAAGAGTTAATAAGACCTTGGACCATATACCATCCGCTCCAACCAACATATCTCCTTCAAATTTCTGACCATTCTCAAGCTCTACTGTTACCTGAAATTGTGAAATGCTGGATGAGAAATTATTAAACGTCAATATATGATATTTTAATCACATTAGCCTGCCAAAGCATATTCAATAAGAAATAAAAGCTTCACATTATAATTAGGAGAATATTCAACAATCAACAAGCTTTTACTAATTACCTTGTTTCCATCATCCACAAAATTAACAACATTACTGGCATTCATAATGACATCTTCCCCAACTGCGCGAGCAAGGATCTCTTGTAAAACCATTCGACTAATAACTCTGGTGACTGGAAGTCCTCGTTCCACTGCAGGAGTGAATGTATCAAACTTGACGTACCTGATAACCAACAATATAGCATTTCTTGGTATCAAATGCTAAAATTTCTTAAAGAAAATTGCAGAAAACATTTTTTTTAACATGATATTAAGAAAACAAGATTGTTGTTTGCGAAAGAGAGGAAAATTAACATTAACAGAGCTCCCCTTGCTAGAAGTCATTATATGTTTAGTTTAGTTCCACAGTGTCCAATAAAGACCCTGAGCTTCCCCAACTTTAAAATGAAGATGTACTCACTGAGTATATTCAATCTCTTTAACAAGCAGAATGTCAATAGACTTGTTAACTAGGACCAATGACACAAACATTGTTAAATATCTGAATTTGCATTGCAGTTGTGTTTCACCCCACTGCTACAGTTAGACTTCACAGCTTTTTATAAGGCACTTCTTGCAACAGTTATGATATTGAAGTTTGTCAACACAGTTCTCAATTGATATTAGTACACTCTTTTTTCCCTTAACCGTCATTTTTTCTCATTGAGTTCTAGATATAGTTTTTAATGTGGCAATATTTAATAGTGTACTAAAGAAGGAAGTAATTTTTTTATTTGCCTTTACCGGGTTTTAATTCCACAGGTTTTTCTAATAAAATTTTAACGAAACACATTCTGAAGTAATGGACATGCAAGGGGAGTGTTCAAAATATCATTCTTTTGCAAATGTATCATCTGTTAGATTCAATTGGTTCACCTTGATAAGGATATGATATGAATAATTTGTTTCCTTTCATAAGGATATGACTGAAGTTTCTAACCATACAATAGGATAATACCATCTATCAAGCCATGCCGATCAACTGTGGCAACTAGGTTTCAACCACCATCTGTCCTAAAGTTTTCTAAAATGAATACAGTTGCAGACAGTTGAAACCAACTAATTAGTTTTTGAGGGTCCAGCACCTTAAATGCCTATTCATTTCCCATTTAACATATATTAAACCAAGGATAAAACTTGCATGTACCATAGATACCGTTGATGTTGTTCTCTAATAATTTGAGTTTCACTTTAGTAATATGCATAATAAAAAATTATATTAAATGTCAACACAGATTAAGGTGAAACTCTAATTTTAATCGGAGAACAGCATTATACTTATGGTATTATATCTAAGTTTTGACATTAAACCAATCAGAATGATTATCACAATCACATACCCTAAGAGATAACAATAATAGAAGACACCTAAATTACAGCATGAAAAAAGTACTTAACCTTTTAACTTACCAAGAACCAGAAACCCCATCAACAAGTCCATTGATTCTATCACCCGTGATGCAACCAACTCTCATAACTTCCTCAGCAACCTCTGAATCTATAGCTTCTAAAGCAGCCAAAGCATTGCTCTGAATCTGAATTGGACCTCTGTACTGTCCCTCTCCTCTTATAGCACTCAAATCCTTCTCAAACACCACTACCTCAAACCCTTTTCTCTTTGCAGCCAAAGCAAAAACCAACCCTCCAATCCCTCCACCAGCCACAAGTATCCGAAGCTGCTTCTTCAAAGGGGTTCCACTCCCACCTTGTGGTGAAGGGGAAACATCAGGAGGAGCCTCTACCACTGCACCTTTCACATGCATCACTTTCTTCCTCTGCTTCCTTGTTCTGCATCCCAGGCCACAGTTATTGCTAACCAAAGGTGAAGAAGCATCAAGTGTAAGCTCTTTATTCAAAGGAACTGAGAAATGGGTTCTTGAGAAAGCTGTTGTTGATGGGTTAAGAGAATTGCACAAAGTAGAAGCCATGATTGTTGTTGCTGTGTTGTGTGTGTTTTGTGGCTCAAAGATACATAACTAGGATACTAGTTAACTTTAATTAATTAAATGAGTTATATTTATATCTGTACGTGTTGAAGTTTTGACAATGCATGGCACCAATAAAATCTTCAGATGAGTGAACAAGGGAACAAAATTGGTGGTTTAGAGTTTAGGGCCACAAAAATGAGAAGAATGGAGACGTCAAAATACTGGAAAAATAGATTAACGTTTGAGGGGTGAATGGGTGACTGTGACAGACTCGTTTTTGTACCTTAATTGTGGCCATAAATCTTAGGTGGTTCGTATGTTGTAAGCTCGGCCACGTATGAATAATCTGAAGCTCAGAACCACCGAGAGATCAAAATATCGAATTTTATTGGCTTGTGCTAGTTTCCTATGTGGATAAGGACGTCTATCCATTCGTTTGGTTTATAAAGGGAAGAAAAAAAAATCATTATTTTGATACTCTTTATAACAAGGGATGATGAAAATTCTATTCGAAAGTGGTTTGCTTAATTGAGAGTTAAATAAGTTTTCACTACGTGTAAAATATAAAAATGATTGCTTAATTAATTTTTTTTAACCTTCTTTTAGTCTTTCATTTTTTTCCCAAAAATATGTTTATAATTCTTGTCTTTATAAAAAAAGAAATATTGACTTATTTTCATTAAATGAAAATAAAGATTACGCTTAAGATATTTTCAAAATAAAAATAAAAATAATTCAATGATTAAAACTGAATTTTAATGCCTATATATGTCCCAGATTTTAGTACCGATACATAAAAAAAAAAAATTAAATCAATTCCCATTGTTACTCGTGCATTATTAATTTGGTTCTTACATTACACGAGTAACACATCCATAACTTAGTCTCTATATATAGAGGATTAAATTAAGGATTACTATAAGTGTGTATAATCAAATTATAAGAATGTGCTACATGTATAAAAAATCAAAATTAAGAATGTGTAAGGAAACTAGCGATAGAGGTGAGTATGATCCTGTTAGGGTCACTTGAAAAATAGTTTGTTACTCGAAAGAATTGACTGATAGAGCATCTACCAAGAAGGAACATCAGAAACGTACACTACAAGAAAATTATCATATAGTGACACCCATCTTATAGTGACATAATAAGTGTCCCTAAAAATTACTTTTACCTACACAATAAATATAATATATGTTGGTATATTGTTAAAAAGTGTGGGTATAAGCTATAGTAACACATAAAATATGTTAGTAAATCTCATTCAAAATCAACACTAAAATTGTGTGTAGCTATATGCCAAATAGATATATATCTACATACACTACAAGAAAATGACGATTTTGCGACGGTTATATGGCCTACATTGCAACGGTTAGAACTACCGCAAAGATAACATTGCGACGGTTTGGGAACCGTCGCAGAATTGCCGTCACTAGGCAATTTTGCGACGGTTATCAGAACCGTTGCACAAACCGTCGCAAAATTGGAATTGCGACCCCTGAAGCACCCGACGCACTAACTGCCTCTATATTAACATTGCGACCCTTTCATCAACTATCACACCAACTGTCTCTAAATTAATATTACGACCCTTTTTTTACCCGTTAGAAATTATAATTTTTTTTAATTTTAATAAATTTATTAATGTAACAATCCTCATATTTGGCCTCTCAAGGATTCTATTTCACGATATTTCACTGTTTAGCATGTTTTATTCTTACTTGTGCAATTTCTAGGAGACTTCTCAGAAGGTCACCCATCCCTGTACTGCTCCAGGTCAAGCATGTTTAACTGTGAAGTTCTGATGAGTAAGCTACCGAAATGTATGTACGTGTTCGTGTGTTTATTTGTGTGTTTGTGAGTGTCTATCTGTGTTTGTTTTCATTTGTTTCTGTCTGACTATGTCTTTGTATGAGTGTCTCTTTGTTTATGTGTTTGGATGTGTACATCTTTGTGTATGTATGTCTGTGTGTGTGTCTAGGTGTTTGTGTTTATGTGTGTGTTTTTGTGTGGTTGCGCCTGTCTGTGCATTTGTGTGTTTCTTTGTATCTATGTGTGGTTGTGTATTTGTGTGTGTGTCTATGTTTGTCTTTGTGTGTGTATGGATGTGAATGTATCTATGTGTTTGTTTGTCTGTTGTTTGTGTGTTGCTTTACATTTGTGTTTGTTTCTGTGTATGTGTGTCAGTATCTTTGTTTATGTTTGTGTCTGTGTGTATGTTTGTATGTATGTGTTTGTGTGTGTGTGTTTGGGTGTGTTTGTTTGTTTGTATGCCTCAATGTGTGTGTGTCTCTATGCTTGTGTGCGTGTCTATGTGTCTTTGTGTGTGTGGTTGTCTCTATGTGTGTGTCTTTGTGTCTATGTATGTTTATTTCTGTGAGATTTTGTGTTTGTGCATCTCTTTGTGTGTGTTTTTGTGCATGAATGTGTTTGTTTGTTTGTCTGTGCGTTATTTGCATGTTTGTGTGTGTTTGTGTTTGTATGTGGGATGTGCCTATGAGTTTGTGTGAGTGTTGTTTGTGTGTCTGTAAGTTTGTGTGCATGTTGTTTGTGTGTATCTATGTGTGTTGTTTGTGCCTTTGTATATGTGTGTGCGTCTCTATGTTAGTGTTTGTGTGTGTGTTTTTTTTGTGTTAATGTGTTTGTTTGTATGTGAGTGAGCATATGCCAAATTATGTTTGTCTGTGTGTCTTTTTGTGTGTTTATTTATCTTTGTGTGCGTTTGTGTATGTCTGTGTTTATATCTGTCTTAAAAATTGTATGCATGATGGAGAGAAATAAATATTTATGAATGATGTACTCTTTTTTCTTTCACTAGGTTTTTATCTCATAAGGTTTTTCTAATAAGGAGATGCACATTTTAAATATTGGACATCCAAGAGGAGTGTTATGAATAATAATTAGTGACTCAATTAGTAGATGTCAATATTTACTATCAATTATTATCATTTATATTTTGTTATGTATTATTCCCTTATTATGTAATTGTTCAGCTATTAACTGTACTTATAAATAAACTAATTTTCTCCCAAAGATAATATATCAATTAGATTCTTTTATTTATCTCATATTATCTTATTTATTCTCTCTATTTTCTTTCTTTCTTTTATAACAAATAAGAAGTTTAAAAGAATTCTTAAAAATAATTTCATTGAAGAAAAGTTCCTAAAAGTGTAACATATTTGTATTTCTTTAGGAAGAAAAATGTTTATTATAACACTATAAGGGAGGGTGATATAATATTTCCATATTTGAGTAGATGATATGTAAATGATGTTTTTGCTAATATTTTTTTAGTAACACATGTTAACAAAATTTTAATGAATTTTTTAAAAAAATATATATAAAATTTTATACATTAAAATTATCGAAAACTATAATTTTTAATATAAGATGAGAAAATAATGTAATATTTACATCACTTAAATGGTTATGCAGACGTAAGTTATTTGTTAGAACCTCATAATGGTAAATTACAAACATGATATTTGTTTACAATTGGTGGTATAATCATTTCATGGCGATCTGTAAAACAAACCATATCAGCCATTTCATCTAATCATACTGAAATTTTAACATTACATGAGGCAAGTCGTGAATGTATTTGACTAAGATTTGTGATTCAACATGTACGAGAAACTTGTGATTTATCTTCTGGAAAAATGACATTGACAGTTATATATGAAGATAATGTTGCATGTATTACATAGTTGAAAGATGAATACATAAAGGGAGATAGAACAAAACATATTCTACCAATGTTCAACAAGTTTACTCATGATCTCTTTACAAAATCACTTCCAAGAAAAGTTTTTGAATAGTTGATACACAAGATTAGACTCCGTCGTCTTAAAAATTGTATGCATGATGGAGAGAAATAAATATTTATGAATGATGTACTCTTTTTTCTTTCACTAGGTTTTTATCTCATAAGGTTTTTCTAATAAGGAGATGCACATTTTAAACGATAAACCATTGCAATGTTGAACAATTTTGTGACGGTTTTGAAAAACTGTCATATGAAGGGTCGCAATATCAAAGCGACAAAGGTTTCTAGATAACCGTCGCAATTTGTCCGTCGCAATTTATCCTTTTCCTTGTAGTGATATATTATACTTATAGTAACACTTTTTGTATATCACTATATGTAACATTTATTATAGTGTTAAACACGCATACTCGAGATTGACTCGAAAAAGTGAAAGGTAGTTACTGGAGGTTTGTGACAGTTAAGGCACACCAAGGTGGTTATTAAAGGTCGAATCGAGAAAGTAAAAACGTGGGACGAATGGTTACGAGAAGTTACGTCTTAAAGCCACATAATAAGCATAGTGGATAACGGTTATCTTCTAATAACGCACATGCACAAAATTAACCGCCCTCATTTGGCTCTATAAATACGAGAAATATGTACCTTCACAGGGGTCGGAAATTTCATACTTGCACTCTTGAAAGCACTCTCTTCCTACGCATATGGCTTCCGTGCATGCAATTGCTGGGTACTAATTTCTTGACCACATTTCTTTTCTTTTTCTAGGATTAGGATTGGTTTAGTTTTCTTCTTTTAATCACGTAGTTATAGGTTGTTTAACTTCAATATTGTAATTGTAACTTGATCATTATGCAAGTTGGACGATGATTTGTATTGCCAATATATGTTTTATTTACTCTGTTCGCTTAAGTATTTACATGCATGCAAATTATTGTTTAATCATAATTCACGAAGATCTGGAAACCAACTTTTGTTAATTTGTCTCGTCTACTTCCATTCTTAATTACACGAACACTTTAAAATACCTAAATTAAAACAATTTTGTGCTAGTTCGAGTAAAAGGGACTCATAAGCGAATTCCACCACAAACAAATTGGCACGCCCGGTGGGACCCGTTTAATCAAGAACACTATTGAAATATTTTTAGGTATGTTGCATGAGACTTAGGAGTGGAAGAACCATGTCTACGTCTAATAATAGGGGAGTGATGAACAATGACACTCAAGTAGATGTAGAACACGTAAATCCAAACCTAGATAATGTGACTACTGTGACAAGGGGGGCAACATCACCCCGTGTTGTACTCCAAAATGTGGCCAGACAAACAAATGTTTCACAAGAATTCGCGAATGCCACTAGAGAATATCCATGGGGCATGCCACAGAATTGGCGAAATACCCAACCTGTTCATGTCGAAATGCCAGTGCCCTATTTAGGACCAAATTCACAAATGCACGTATCCCTACAGGGATATAATCCTGGACCAAATGGTTTGGGTTTTGTCATGCAAGACTCGTATCAACATGTAGGGACAAGTCATGAGGGATCTCTAGTTCGACAGAGTAGTTATGTGATGTTGTGTATTTTACTCGTATTTTAGCACTTTAATTCACAAGAATTCATAGCATAATCATGCATATCTTTCATGTTTTTAATAAATTTTTATATCATTTTCCTATTTTATGCTTTTCTTGGTATGTGTTGTGTTTTCTCTGAGCAGGATCAAGATTTAAGAATTAAAGAGGAAATGCTGAGCTACAGGGAAAATCACGGCCGTGATTCTAAATCACGCCCGTGATTCACCAGAGAAAATCACGGCCGTGACTCCCAATCACACCCGTGAACGCCACTGACCCTTCATAGATGTGCTCCAGAGAAGATCACGGTCGTGATTCTCATATAAAATTCTTGACTTTATTTTTCAAAAGAAAAAAAAAAAATATATATATATATATATATAGAGTTAATCACTTATACACTGTCACTTGTAAAAAAAATTTTTACTGACAACCAATTATATCTTTTAATTGTGTCATGTCACTGTATAAAATATATATGTAAGGGAGAGACAAAGAATCTTTCTCATTCCTTAATGTTATAATTTATTTTCTCTTTTTCATTTTTTCCTCTATCAAATTATAAATCTATTTTATCAAAATATTATTTTCTTAATCTATGTTTATTTTTATTTTTAAAAATTTTGAATAAAATATTTATATTTAAACTTTTTTTTCGTTCTTCATTTTCTTTGGGCTAGATTCTGTTGTTACCGATTTTATTGTTTTTTTTTTTTTTTGCATATTTGTTCAATGTTATGGCAACATAAAAGGTTGTTATACCTTATTACTAAAATAATCAACATAATGTTATTGTAATGTTTTTGTTATCAAGTATAGTATTATTTAGGAATGTTCATAAAATTATTTTAAAAACTAAATTAAACTATAAAAATATTGAACTATTTTTTTATAAAAACTAAACTAAGTTATATTTTAAGTTCATTTTAAAAAAATTATGCACACTATAAAATATAGTTTAGTATACTATAGTTATAAAAAAAAATTATAATAACTTTGCATAATTTTTTATTCAATTTACACAAGTAATTATTTTTATTATAAATAAGACTACATATTTTAAACATTTTTTAAATGTTGTTATCCAATGCATAATTAAAATATTGTATTTTTAATAATTATTTGATAAATTATATTTAGAATATTTTTTAATTTATTTGATTATATAAATAATGTATTAAAATTAAACTTTCTTTTAAAACACATCGACTATAAATTAAATTATTTATCACTTTAGAAAATTGTTACAGTAATTTTAAATCATTTTTTTAATTTATCTTGTCAATGTATGATTTATATTTACTTTCATCTTTACTATTTTTAAATATAAGTGAATAAATGATATTTTCCGTATTTTTTTTATAAAAACTAAATTGAAGCTAAGTTTAGTCTTAAAAACTAAATTACTACAAAAATTAGTTCTGTTTAGTTTAAATCATAAGAAAAAATTTGATTAAGAGTACAAAAATAATTTAATTCAGTATAAAGTATAGTTCAACACTTGAAGTAGATGAAATATTGACTAGTGATTCTAAAGTTATTACTTATGTGAGTTTGAACTATTTTGCCTTAATTTTTTTTATAAACAATCTTTGGTAAACAATTTTGATTGATTTATTATTTGAAAGATGTTAATTTTTTTTTTCAAATCAAATCACGTTATACACATTTTAGTTTATTAATATAAATTTGAGAATAATAGTTAATTTGAAATAAAAAAATAATTCTTTATATATAAAGTAGTTTAGTTAGATTTATAGTAGATTTTTTTTTAGTTTGAATTAAATTATAGTGCAATTTGAACTTTTAGAACTATAGTTCACTAAATTAGAAAGTAGTTTAGTTTAATTTTCTAAACTATTATATAGTTTAGTTTATATGAATTATTTTTATAGTTTAATTTAGTTCAACCATTTGGACACACTAATATCATTGCATGCTTGAATTTCTTGATAATTTCAATAAATAAAAAATGATGAGTGACTATATAATGTTTAATACGACCAATATTATTAGGTGTCAATTGCATATTGAGACTACTAATAAAAATTATGGATATGAATAGATCATATTTTAAAATAAAAGTTTATAACTTAACCTATTTAAAGTTTGATGTACTTAAAAAAAAGTAAAACTTAAACTTTAAAAAAATATTTATTTAAAAAGACTAGATTTAGGCTCTGTTAGACCCTATTTATTTATGTATTATATATATATATATATATATAACATTATTAACAATATTATTAAATAGTTGGGTTTGTAATATAAATTTTTTTAGTAGTCATATGTTTGCTTTTTTTCCCCTTCATATTCATGGTTGATTATTTAGAATACTTAAAATGTAATATAAGAAATATTTAGAAAACCTTTTTTAAAAGATTATTTTCTTCATTATAAGTGTACACGAGTATGTATGAGTTTTTCTTTAATTAATTTTTTATTTTTTAATTTTAAATTTTAATAATAATGAGTAAACTATTTTTTATCATGCAAATTAAATAAAAACTCATAGGTATATTTAAAAATATATAATCATTAGCTTATTTGAAATTAAATATATGACATATTTAATGTTGTTAATGTAAAATAAGCTTTTTAGTTATGTTAATAGATGAGACCATACTTTTAAAAATGTTAATGTAAATAATAGCTCAAGTTTAAGCTTTAATTTTATAAAATATGTCTGATCTATTCTCACTTCTAGTAGAGACTCGCCTTGAAGGATTACTACTATTATTAAATAGATATCAACTTTATTTTACAAATAAATCATTTAATAAAATAAGTAATTAAAAATTATCATATTATAATTTTAATGAGTTATATAATATAAAAATTAATCTAATTTATATTTTTTTATTCAATACTAAATTGAGTTTTCAACATAAATTCAATCATTAATCACTTGATTGAATAATGTAAATTTCTCGAATATCAAGTTAAGTTAGTTAATCTAATTTATATAATAATAATCATCATAAAAAATTAGATATTATATATAATAACTTAACAAAATAAATAATATATAATTAAATCTAGTTTTAATAAATTAAAAAATATAATATAATTTAAATGAAAATAATCAGTATAAGAAAAAATAACATATATCAAACAACTTATCAAAATAAATCTTACAAAATTGAATCTAGTTTTAATAAAATAAAAAATGTACAACAATAATAATAAAAAAATTAAAGATCATAACTATAATGTATATAATAAAAAAATAAATTTAAAATTTAAATATAGAAGAAGTGTTACTTACTTAGCTTAATAGCAATTGATATAAATATCAATATATAATAAACTATGATGTGGCACAAAATATAAATAAGTACAAACATAATAGATGAAGACAAAAAAAAATTGCTCAGCTCGCTCATTGTTTTAAGGTTAAGTTCCCATTTTGTGTCTTCCCCTCCTGTTTGAGTAGGGCTTCTCCCATTGGTCGCACTCCTAACCAGCGCCGCGCTCTATCTTACGCTCCTATAGGCCACCCTCTTATCCTACTCCCACACCATTCTCTTTCAAACCCTAATTAAAATTAAAACAGAAAAAATCATCTTCTGAGATCCCTCTTCATTCTTGGATCCCTCCTCCACCCTTTCATCCAACCCTGTCGCTTTGATCACCGGGTTAGGGTTAGGGTTCGAATTCAATTTTCATATAATCGGATCAAACACTTAATCAGTGAGAGCAGAGAAATCACAGGGCTAGGGTTTCATGCTTTTGCCATTCACACTTGCTTCGCGATTGCGATGGCGGCCAATTCCGGCACCAAATACGTCTCTGTGAATCTAAACAAGTCCTATGGGCAGCATTCCACCCCCTTCGGATCCAACCGAGCGGCGCGGCCAGCCGCAGGAGCTGCTGCGATTCCCTCGCGGCCTCGGAGTTCGCACAAGGCCGGGCCCAAGCTTTCCGTTCCACCCCCCTTGAACCTCCCTTCGCTGCGGAAGGAGCACGAACGGTTCGATTCGCTGGGATCGGGGAGTGGGCCTTCCGGCTCTGGAGGTCCTGGAAGCGGGGCGAGGCCCAGTTCGTCAGGTGTGGGCTGGACCAAGCCCGTCGCGGAAGATGGGCTGTCGCGGCCTGTCATCCAAGGCAAACCGGCTGCCACCGCAGCTGCACCTGTTTCGTCAGCTGTTTTGAGAGGAGAGGATTTTCCCTCTCTGCGGGCTACCTTGGCGCCTGGACCCGGCCCAAGTCAGAAGATCCAGGAGAGTGGCAATCAGAATCAGAGTCTGAATCAGAAGCAGAAGCATTCTCTGGGTGATGAGAATGTGTTTGTTGAGGAGAAGAAGGAGGGTTCTTTGATTACTGATCATTTGAGTGTTTCTCGCAGTGTGAATGTGGTTGGCGGTGGCGATGATGGTCGTGGTTCGCGTCTGGTGAACCCCAGGTATGGTGTTGGGAGGAGGCAGGAGGAGTATTTCCCTGGTCCTCTGCCACTGGTTCGGCTGAACCCACGCTCGGATTGGGCCGATGATGAGCGGGACACGGGTCACGGATTGAGCAGAGAGGGCAGGGATCATGGTTTTTTTCCCAAGGGGGACGCATTTTGGGATTTTGATATGCCTAGGATTGGTGGCGTATTGCCTCATAAGCATGACAAGAGGGGACAGTTGAGAGGCAATGAAGTTGGGAAGGTTTTGTCCAGTGAAGTGGAGAGTTATGATAGAATGGGGCCAGACGGGAATTCTTGGAGAACTTCGAATGTGTCATTTTCTAAAGATGCTGGAAATGAAAGAAATGGTGTTGGTGTGAGGCCTTCAAGTGGGAGTAGGGATGTGGGGAAGGATAATAACAAGTATGTTCTGTCGCCATTTAGAGATGATGATTCTGGAAAGAGGGACTTTGGAAGGAGGGATAGTCAGGGTGGGAAACAGCAGCCTTGGAATAATGCTATGGAGTCTTATGGTCGTAACCGGGAGCAACTCAACAGGAACAGAGCTGATTCTGTGCAGAGCTCGTCATCTTCATTTTCCATGGGTGGAAAGGGGCTTCCTGTTAATGACCCTCTGCTTAATTTTGGTAGAGAGAAACGAGCATTACCCAAGAGTGAAAAAGGCTTTTTGGAGGATTTTGGAGGTTCTGGTTTTGATGGGAGGGATTTGTTTTCGGGTTGTCCTGTTGGGGTGGTCAAGAAGAAGAAGGATGTGCTTAAGCAAACTGATTTTCATGATCCGGTGAGGGAATCCTTTGAGGCTGAGCTTGAAAGGGTTCAGAGGATGCAAGAACAGGAGCGGCAGCGTATCATTGAGGAGCAAGAAAGGGCATTGGAGTTGGCTCGTAGAGAAGAGGAGGAAAGATTAAGGCAGGTTAGAGAGCAGGAAGAGAGGCAGAGGAGATTGGAAGAAGAAGCTAGAGAGGCAGCATGGAGAGCAGAGCAAGAAAGGATTGAATCTTTGCGGAAGGCTGAAGAGCAGAGGTTAGCTAGGGAAGAAGAGAAACAAAGGATATTTTTAGAAGAAGAGAGGAGGAAACAAGCTGCTAAGCAGAAGCTTTTAGAATTGGAGCAAAAGATTGCAAGAAGACAGGCTGAGGCGACCAAAAGTGGTGGTAATGCTCCGGTTGTTGTGGATGAGAAAATGACTGTGACAATGAATGAAAAAGAAACATCCAGGGTTACAGATGTGGGTGATTGGGAGGATAGTGAAAGAATGGTCGACAGGATATTAACTTCGGCATCTTCTGATTCATCAAGTGTGAATAGGCCATTGGAGATGGGTTCTAGGTCTCATTTCTCTAGAGATTTATCTTCCACCCTCGTGGATAGAGGAAAACCCGTTAATACATGGAGAAGGGATGCATATGAGAATTGGAGCAATACAACATTTTATCCACACGACCAGGAGAATAGTCACAACAGTCCCCGCAGAGATTTATCAATAGGGGGAAAGCCATTTATGAGGAAAGAATATAATAGTGGGTCTGGATTTGTGTCGTCAAGGACTTATTACAAGGGAGGGATTTCGGAGCCCCACTTAGACGAATATGGTCATGTGAAACCCCCGCAGAGGTGGAATCAATCTGCAGATGGAGATCATCTTAGCAGAAATACAGAGATTGATTCTGATTTTCATGAAAACTTTTTTGAAAGATTTGGTGATGGATGGACACAAGGCCGATCCCGGGGCAATCCATTTCCTCCATTCCCCGAGCGTACTTATCCAAGTTCTGAATCTGATGGACCCTATGCCTTGGGGAGGTCACGGTATTCTGTCAGGCAGCCTCGAGTACTTCCTCCTCCTTCATTAGGTTCTGTTCACAGAACTTACAAGACTGAAAATGAACACTCCAGCCCTTCTGCTTTCCTAGAAAATGATATGCATTATAATCAGACAACAAGGAGTGAGTCTACTCTGCCAGCTGGTTACGACAATGGGAATCGTGCACAACATGAAGTAGTGGATGTCAGGCAAGAGACTACTGAGAATGAGGACCGTAAAGTGGAAACCACTCCAAGGTGTGATTCTCAGTCTTCACTATCTGTTTCAAGCCCCCCAAGTTCTCCAACACATCTCTCTCATGATGACTTAGATGACTCTGGAGATTCCCCTACCATATTGACTTCTGAAGAAAGCAAAAGTTGTCCCCTTCCAGCTCTAGATAATGAATCCATTGCAACACCTGTTGTTGCTGGAAATGTTGTTGCTGGAAATGAGAATGTAGGTACTCCATGTGCTGTCTCTAGTGGTGATGATGATGAATGGACTACTGAGAATAATGAGCAATTCCAAGAACAAGAAGAATATGATGAAGATGAAGATTATCATGAAGAAGATGAAGTGCATGAAGGAGATGAAAATGCTCAACTCAACCAGGATTTTGAAGATTTGCATTTACAAGAGAAAGGATTGCCCCACTTGATGGATAACCTAGTATTAGGATTTGATGAGGGTGTCCAGGTTGGGATGCCCAATGAAGAGTTTGAAAGGACATCCAAAGATGAAGAAACTACATTTATGGCTCAACAGGCTGACATCACTCTAGAAGAATGTGTATCTTATGATAATGCACAGGCCGATGAGAAAGCTCTCCAACCTGTACCGATTTTATTGTTTTTTTTTTTTTTTGCATATTTGTTCAATGTTATGGCAACATAAAAGGTTGTTATACCTTATTACTAAAATAATCAACATCATGTTATGAAATCACACGGAGAATGAACTAACATGTCATCTAGAGAGTCTAAGTGATAGCTCATCAAACCAGCAAGATTAGAGGAAAGAATTGGTCGAGTACCTGCAAAATCCGAATTTGAAATTCGAAAGAAAAATCAAACTCCAAGCCCTTAATTATGTCATGTTGAATAACGAATTATACAAGAAGGGTTTCGATGGAATTTTATTTAAATGCCTTGGGAATCATGAAAGTTATATGGCTATGGCAGAAGTACATGAAGGTATCTGTGGAGCACATCAAGCAGGTGAAAAAATGAAGTGGACTTTGAAGAGAAAAGGGTATTATTGGCCAGCCATGATCAAGGATTATATCGAATTTGCAAGAAGCTGTGAGGAATGTCAAAAACATGGACCAATACAAAGGGTACCAGCAAGTGAATTACATTCAATTATTAAACCTTGGTCATTTTGAGGTTGGGCAATTGACATAATAGGGCAAATCCATCCACCCTCCTCGAAAAATCACAAATATATATTAGTTGCTATAGATTATTTCACAAAATGGGTTGAGGCAATTCCTTTGAAAGAAGTCGAGCAAAAAGACATAATCGATTTTGTGGAAGATCATATCATAACAAGGTTTGGAATTCCTCAAACAATTACTAATGATCAAGGCACATTTTTTACAGGTTGAAAGGTTGCTCAATATGCTCAATCGAGAGGAATTAAGTTAGTAACTTCGACACCGTATTATGCACAAGAAAATGGACAAGTAGAAACTGCTAATAAAATAATTATCAGTTTAATTAAGAAACATATCTCAAGTAAGCCTTGAAGTTGGCACGAAACACTTGTCCAAATATTGTGGGCTTATAGAAATTCACCAAGAGATGCCACAAAAATTACCCCATATAAATTGGTGTATGGGCATGAAGCTATTCTTCCTATAGATATCAATTTGCAATCAATTCACATACGGAAACATAATGATTTGCCTATCGAAGATTATTGGAATCTGATGTATGATGAGTTGGTGTCTTTAGAGGAAGAAAGGTTGATAGCATTGCAAAATCTTGTTCAACAAAAGGAAAGAATCGAGAAAACATACAATAAGAGAGTCAAAGCAAGCAGTTTTCGAGTTGGAGACTTAGTGTTAAAAGTAATTCTTCCCATGGATCAAAGATCTCGACATTTAGGAAAATGGTCTTATAATTGGGAAAGTCCCTTTATTATCGATCAAGTATACTCAAAAAATGCGTACATGATTAAAGAAATAAATTCAAATGCAGCAAGCAAAGTGATTAATGGCAAATACTTGAAATATTTCTATCAAAGATCGAAGTTTTGAAACAAATAGCCAAAATAACACAAGAAATTTAAATGGTTGTTCAGGAATCTAATTATTACAAAACTTAGACTTGAAATCTTTAAAGGCCTGATAAGCCTCATCCAAACTTTTTCTTCGAGAAGCACACTGAGCCTCTAGACGTTTCTTTTGCTCCAAAGTCTTTGCGAGTCTCGATGAAATCACCTTGCCCTCATCTTTAAGAGTTTTCTAACGTTGAACAACTTCTTGGCTTTCAGCTTTCAAAGCAGCTTGCTTCGAGCGTGAGTTGTTAAGCTCATGTTGCAGAGCTTCAATAGATTTCTCGATGTCAGCCTCCTCTTGTTGCAATTTTTTTAGGGCAGGAATCATCTCTTCAGTGGATTTCCTGATCGAGAGTAATTCCTGTTTGAGATGTTCAAGCTTAGCACGATCTCCTTCGGTTCATACTTCTATATGAGCGACCTCCTGAAAAGTGTCAACCCATTTAGCTCGAAGATCATGAGCGAGTGTGAAGGGCTTAATGAACTCTTGAAGTTCAAGATGAACTTCGGGAGGGAGGTCTGGATAGGCGAGTAAGTCATCTATCATCTGTTGAACCTCGGTTTTGAATTCGGGAACAACAAATGCCTGATCAAGGTCCTCGACATAAGCTTTAGACTGGAAAGACTCGAGCAAGGGTTGGAAATTAGCAGTCGACTCAGGGGCTTTCTCAGAAACGGAGGCACCACTTGTCCAATTCTCCAAAACATCAAAAATATTATCCATTTCAAGGTTGTCATGGAAAAAGCTAATCAAGTCCAAATCAGCAGACGGAAGTGAGGGAGTAGGCGGCTTTGAAGATTTGACACCATCTTGCTTGGACGGAGAGGGAGTCAGAGTCGGAGAATCAGTCGAACCTGCACACGAAAAGGAGATAAGAAAGGCATACTTCTTTATACAACCATTGATAAACCTTAACAAAAGAAAAAGTATACCATGATTTGGACTAAAAGGAGGCTTAAGCTCGAAAGAGGGAGCTTCATCTTGGGAAGATTGGTGTGGAGTTTCAGGCTTCACATTAGGCTCCGATAAAGGAACCTCACCTTCAGCCTGAGGATTGGAAACGATGCCCGTCGAGACCGTTTCTACGATGTTTAGCTAAGGAGTAACCAACTGAAGAAGGATAAAGTTAAATTCAGGAAAAGGTACAAAGGAATAAAGATCAATGAAAGTCGAACCTATTTTGGTTCCCCAGTAGAAAGAGGAGTATCCTTGGAAATCTCTCGAGAAGAGTCGAGATGGATTACCTCGACATCTTGTGATTAAAGAAAATCTCAGAGAAATCAAACATCTCAGGAGGTTAGAAGTCGAAGTGCAAGATAAATACCTTAGGAACAGACTTCATAGCATCTTTAAGGAGTTTCTCGACAGGCGGTTTCTGGGACTTCTTAGGAAGAGGAATCAGTAGTTTCCCCTTCCCTTTATTCGGCTTTTTCGTGGTCGAAACCTGAAAATAGAATGAGAAATTCTTGTGGTCGAAACCTAAAAATATAGAGTGAGAAGAGAGAGAATGTAAGGGCAAATATGAATTACTCACAGTCTTGGCACTTGCTGAATCGGCCTTTTGTTTTTTCGAGGTTTCGAGACTCTGAAAATAGGAGAAGAGTTAGAGAAGGTAATGTGAAGTAAATCCAGAAGTCCGATTGAAAGTGTAGATAGAAAAGAATTGTACCTTAGAGCGTAGGGAAACCTTGTCAAAAATAGTCTTTCTTTTTCAAGTCTTCAACCCCTTTGTGTCATCATCATCCCTCTCCCAATTGGGATTTTCTTCAGCATGTTGAGGAACACGCTGAGGGATAGCAGCTACACAGAGTAAAACAAAGATAAGATAAGTACAAGATGGAAATACACTATTTGTAGTAAAGACATTTACCAGGAGGGGGATTGCGATTATCGACCCAACACAATGGCCACCATCTCCTTCGAGGAAAATTGTACACGGAACATCTCACATAGGTAACTCGATCCTTTACAGGAATTTCTTTACGCTTAAGGTAAAATGGATCAAGGGTCTTCACCCAGGGAGGGTGAGATAAGTGTTTAACTAAACCAAAACGTGCATTTGGAAGAGGAGGAATATTTTTAGGACAAAATTTTTTGAAATCAGTTTTTCCTCGAGGATTAATAACCTTTTTCGAGCGGATGTTCCTTTGTACCATTTTCGGTAGAGAGACAGATGCATCAAAGATGGTTCGACCAAGATTGTCAGGTCGATAACAAACTTTAAAAAATTGCTCGAACTGATAAATAATAGAGTGGTTTTTGTAAGTACCTGATAGTTTCGGGCCCTGCAAAGAAAGGGGAGAATTAATCAGCTTCTTCAAAAAGTCATCAAAGTCAAGAATTTTGTCAACATAGTACTCACACCACCAACGAAGAAAACATTTAGAGACTAAGAAAGAAGGAGAAAAAGAACAAGGTGTGAGGCTAAGTTGTTTCTTAGGACGCAAAATAAAATCCAAAACTTCTTCGTAATTTCCTTTCTCGACACAAATATCAGCATCTATGCTTTCTTTGCATCGAAGGGGAAGAGGTTTCATCTGACAAAGCCCAAATTGTCGGGCAAAAAGTTGAGGCTGGTAGGGGTAAATCCTAACATCTTTTTGTCGCATTCCAGATATTATTATATCCCAGGATAAGAACCCGAACCACATTTCGATAGAATTCGGAGCCATATTCCCAACTTGGTTATTTTGTCGAAGCCAAGGAGGACCTATCAGGGTAGTACGTATGAAAGGGGCTAAGTCCTCGCTAAATGCACTGAAACTGAGAATCGCGTCAATATATTTCACAAAGTTATCAATTGAACGTTTTCGAGGGGTAAGCGTGGTCAAACGGGCTCCTTCGAGTTCACACACTGGAGCGAAAGACGAAGTAAGTGAGAGCTTCTTCTCCAAAATCACATTAAGCCATAATTGTAGTAGCCATAACGGTCCAGAGAGATTTCGAGGGCTAGATTCTCGGAAAAGGCTTTCCGAAGCTTCATCGAGACAGGTGTATAGGGAAGCTAGTAAGAGTTTGCTCAAGAAAATTTTCTTTTTCAAATGTAAGGCTTGAGCCAGGACGTAATAGTATTTTGGAACCTGGAGAGAGGGAGTACAGAAAACACAAGCAGACAACTAGTACATTAAAAATGTAATATTTTCGGAGGTCGAAACAGGGGTACCCAGTTTTCCTATATGGGTATTGATGAAAGCCAGATAATTATTCTTGTCCCAAGATATGGAAGTTTCTTTGATCGAGATCTCCTCCTCGAAGGCATCAGGATAGAACCTATCTCCTATAGGGGCCAAGCCAGTAATCGCTGCAATATCTAACAGAGTGGGACATACAAAACCACATGGAAACTCAAAAGCTCAAGTCTTTCTATTCTAGAAAAAAATGGCAGAAAGAAGCATTTGGGGGTCGAAAAGGTGTAGATCAAATTTAGCAAGTTGGATGAATTCAAATATACCAGTTTCTACCCACATAGAACTCATTGCACCTTCTACACGTGCCAACCATTGTGAATTCCTATCCTTGGTGGGGGGAAAAGCCCTAAAAATCTTAGTGGTATCTCAAAACAAGGACAGGTCTATTTGTGAGGAATGAATGAAGGGTAATGTAGAGGAGTCTTTAGGTAACAATGTATTACCAAATTTTTTCTTATTCTGACCCATAAATGGACCTAAAAAAGCATGCGTAGTGCCATCTGCAAGGGTGAAAGGGAGAAGTACCTGTGACTGGAAAATCTTAAGACTTGCTTCCTCCATGCCTGGGATAGGGACTAAAGTATCATCACCATCCTTCACGGTGCAGATTGTAGCATTAGTTGTTAGCAGAGGAAGATATTGTGTAGACGAAGCAGCCGCCAATGTGGGAGACAGAACAGAGGCAGTGGCAGAAGTTGACGCGGCGGAAGAAGCCATGATAATCAAAGGAAAAAGCTTTTTGAATGCAGAAGCAGAAGAAAAATTGCAAAGCCAGAGAAGAGGACCAAGAAGCAGCAAGAAGCAGAGCAAGAGGATGAGCAAGAAAGTTTTAAACAAGATGAATGGGCTTTAGGTCAAACAGGTCCATATTAATTCAAATATTAAATCAAATCAATTCAAATTAGCCGCCAAAACGTTTTTTTATAGACAGACTTATGGGAAAACGTAAGCATGCACCGTCAGAGCAATCAATGTCAAATCAAACGGTAAATTGTATTAAATAGGTGGTCAGAAGTAGGCTTTCATTGAAGGAGTACAAGTTACTAACGAGCAAGAAAAATTCGAGAGAGAATCGAGGGAAATTCTCGGTAGGAATTCAGTTCTCTTTCACCACAGTGTGTGCATCGAGACTAAATTCCTAGGGGGGCATTTGTTAGGGTCACTCGAAAAATAGTTTGTCACTCAAAAGAATTGACTGATAGAGCACCTACCAAGAAGGAACATCAGAAACTTAAACACGCATACTCGAGATTGACTTAAAAAAGTGAAAGGTAGTTACTGGAGGTTTGTGATAGTTAAGGCACACCAAGGTGGTTATTAAAGGTCGAATCGAGAAAGTAAAAATGTGGGACGAACGGTTACGAGAAGTTACGTCTTAAAGCCACATAATAAGCATAGTGGATAGTGGTTATCTTCCAATAACGCACATGCACAAAATTAACCGCCCTCGATTGGCTCTATAAATACGAGAAATATGTACCTTCACAGGGGTCGGAAATTTCATACTTGCACTCTTGAAAACGCTCTCTGTTTGTGCATATGGCTTCCGTGCATGCAATTGCTGGGTACTAATTTCTTGACCATATTTCTTTTCTTTTTCTAGGATTAGGATTGGTGTAGTTTTCTTCTTTTAATCACGTAGTTATAGGTTGTTTAACTTCAATATTGTAATTGTAACTTGATCATTATGCAAGTTGGACGATGATTTGTATTTCCAATGTATGTTTTATTTACTCTGTTCGCTTAAGTATTTACATGCATGCAAATTATTATTTAATCATAATTCACGAAGATCTGGAAACCAACTTTTGTTAATTTGTCTCGTCTACTTCCATTCTTAATTACACGAACACTTTAAAATACCTAAATTGAAACAATTTTGTGCTAGTTCGAGTAAAAGGGACTCATAAACGAATTCCACCACAAACAGATCCAAATTGTCCACTTACACAACTCAGTTCATTGTTTGTTTGATTAGGTTCGAGTTTTAAAATTAGACTTTGTGGAGTAAAGAAAGAAACTAGAAAGGAGGTGAATAATATCAATAAATTTTTTTTTTGACA